CCCTGTGCCAAGGTGGCTCCAGGCAATGAGTGGTTATGGTCCATGTGGCAATGGCTGTCTTGGAGGTGTTCGTAAAGGTCAGTAGGAGCAGAGTTGGGGCTGCAGCCTCTGCCAGAGAGTGAGGGAAGGTCTCATGGAGGCATCTTTTGAGCAGAGCTGGGCAGGAGGAGCAGGCATGTGTCAGTGGGCATGCCTGGCCAGCAGAGGGATTAGCACACCAAATGCACATGGGCTTCATAGCCTGTAGCTGTGGGGACCACTAAAGTCTCCAGGTAGCACACATAGTACATCAGAGGGCTGAGCCAGAGTCCGGGGAGCACGCCCCACCCCCAAGTCTGAAGGGTGGATAGTGAAGGGAAACACAGAACTTAGGGGAGAGTCTCCACAACAACCTTCATCCAACCCAGACACAGCAGCTGCTTCTGGGCTCTTCTCTCCGCAGGCCTCTACTTCTAGATCTCACTTCTGAGGTCCACATGGAGCTCAGCACAGTATGTGTTGACAAGCATGAGGCTGAAATTAGTCAATAACTAAAGATCTCCCTTTCATCTCCTTTTTCCCTCTCTCTACTACTCCTGACTACACACACACACACACACACACAGTCATTTGTGTGGAGGGTTGGGGTATCTCAGTCGGAGTCACTTTCCTGAAAGAACTCATTGCTTACATTGTGAAATACTGTGCATACCCCACAATGGTTAATGGCCAGGGGAAAAAAGAAATGGCAAGAAGGAAGGGAGCAAAGAATGAACACCATTTTGGATGGGGTCAGTGTCCTTCCAAATTTATTGTCCATGAAAGGGTAATGTCTGGCTCAGAATAAGCTTCCACGTGGGGCTCAGAACCAGCAAAGCCAAGACTTTGCCCTCGGCCTCACCCCCTCCCTGCTCAAGCTTGAGCTGCAGGAAACTCCCCGACATTCTCCAATCCGAAGTAAGCAGAGCTTATTACCCTGGGTCATCCCAGCCTCTCTGCCATGAGCTCCCTGAACCATGTGTTCTCTTTCCAGATCAATAGGAAGATCTTCATCCTCTCTAAGCTCCCCAATAACTCCAGCATCCAGTGTTTTTGTAGTCTTCGGGGGCAGAGGTGCAGGGATATACAAGAAGGAAATTAGCAATCATCAAGACCTGCTCTCTAAACCAACATACAGGGAATTTCCAAATGTTATCTCACTTAATCCTCACACCACCCCTGTGAGGCAAGCAGTATCATCTGTTTCCAGATGAGGACATTAGATTCAAGGTCACATAGCTCATAAGTTTCAGAGCTGCTATTCACATTCAGGTCTGTCTGACTGCAGAAGTCCCAGCCTTCCTGCTGCATACACTACCCGAACATGGTCTCTCTTCCCTCCCTAGAGTAGCCAGCAGCACAGGGGCCATCTGCAAATGGAAACCAAGACACGTGGGCCTGCCTGACATCCCAGCCATATTTTATTCTGTGTGGATGGGGGACTCTACATAACTCCACCATCCCTCCTGCCCTCACCTCTCACCCTTCCCTGCAGCTCTCCAGATCTTTTCTTATCTGGAAGGCCTTCACTGGAGTTCTGAGAGTCATAGCTGGAGACTCAACCTTTTTGTTCTCATTATAGACCCATGCAGAAAGGCCAGGCCTGGTTCCAAGAGAACCAAGTTTTGTGAAATGCAGCCCAGGATGACCTGCAATCTGATATTACTTTTAAGAGAAAATCCCAGGGCAGAGTCTCACAGTGGAAAGGAGCTGGAAACCCTGCAGCTGCCCCATCTGAGGTTGTGTGTCCTGAAGGGTCCTCTTTACTCCCTTTCTGGAGAAGTCCTTACCCACCACAGCTCTCCTTTCTGGCCGTGCTCTAGATATTCAATCCTGAGGAAAACGGAGAATAGCAGTATGCCAGGCTCTTGCTACCCCAGGCTGCCACACAGACATCGCCCTTCGCCTCATTCACAGCCCCCTGGAAGGCCTTAGGTGGGCAGCTACATTCTGTAGGACACCTTCCTCTCTTCCTTTGCACTCTGAGCACAGACTTCTACCTTGATCCTCTCTGATCGTAGAGCTGGGGAAATGCAAACAATAGGTGCAAACACACAGAAGACTATAAGTGCATGGTATGTATAGGGGCTACTGATATCTGGCAGGACATGGAGGACGTATTATAGGATGGAAGATGTGGCTGAAGAAGTGAAGGATGCCAGAACCCAAAGGCCCACAAAGGCCAGGCCAGGAAATTAAGGACTTTGCCTTGGCAGCGGTCAGAGCCATGGAGGGTTCTTACAGCAAGCACTTAGCCACCTCATCAAGTATGTATATTTTCTTCCTGGCGACCAAGAGGAAATGAGATTTACAAGGAGAAGCATGGAGACCCTGTGGTTAGATTGGTTGAGAGACCATGGAGCTCTGCTTAACACCTACTCTGGAACACACAGATTCCAAAGTCACCCGTGGGGCCAGGGGACCTTATTTGGTATATGTGGTAAGTGAGGAAAAGGGACAGTTGAAGATGCTTACAAGATTCCTGGCTGGGTACACAGTAATTCCATTAACCTTGAAAGAGAATCTGGGAGGATAATTGGGTTGGGGTTGGGAAGAAGAAAAATTAAGAGTTCATTTTTAGACATGGTGAAATTTGAGGTGCCTGAGGGACATACATATGAAAGTAGAGACGTCCAGAAGCGATTGGATATATGACTGGCGCTCAGGAGAGAGGTCAGAGCCAACCATATAGATTTGGAAGACATCACTAATGGAGACCTTGGGAATCCTCTTGCAAATCAAATAATCACCACCTCATCTAACTTTTGGAAATCTAGATTTTTTTGCACACCAGTTTTGCTTTAAGCAAAGAAATTGCAAGTTCCACATCCCTTCTAAGCCTCGTGGCAGGGTAGCTGTTTAGAGGCTTCCTCTGCCTTCAAACTCCCTTGTCACCTACCTCATGTGGTGGCAGCATCGGACGTAGACTGAAAAGAAGACTCTCATGAAGATCCAATCTTCCCCAGATACTTTCCAAGCCTTGAGGACCTAGTATAATGTCTCCAGGGGATAATGTTTCTCCTAGTTTGGAATCCAGCAGGATTAGCTGGAACTACCCATCTCCATAACATATACCTTCATGCCAAGATCAAAATATCTGCTAATAATTTACAAATGAGGCTGGGAGTCTTCTTCCTTTAAACAATATATGGTGACTTGTGCTTTGAGCATTTCTGTGCCAATAAACTGACCCTACAGCAGTTCAGCACCAGAAACCCTGTGTCTGACCATAACCCTTGGATACTGGAAGGAAAGACTGCACTAACTTGCCAGGAAGAGGACACTGTCCTGTACAACCCGCCAGTGCCACTGCGAATCCACAATGTAATCTCCCACAGGCTACCTGCAAGACGAAAATATTTTTAGGCTTTCCAGAAAGATTTCATTTCACAGTTTTTTTTTTTGAAAGGTTGTAATTAACTGCAGTGAGCAAAAGAATGTATTTTTAAAAATAAAAGTGGGGGAAGGAGAGAGGAACCAATTGCCACACTTTCGTCAGTTCCTTTGGGTAGGTGGGTTCATGTCACCCAGGTGGCTGGGGGAGGAGATGGAGGTGCTGCTGAAGCTCAGTTCAAGTGGATCAAAAAGAACCAGGAGCTAAGAGCAAATTCTCTCCCAATGCTCTGCCACAGAGTTGAAGCAGCCCCCTCCCTGTTTCTCGTTGACTAGGTTCTATCCCCCAAGACCCAGGAGTCTCAGACCCCTGAGGAAACTGTCTGTACCAGAGAAGAGTGGAGGAGTCAGAATATATGATAATTTGGGGGGAGGCAGTACCAGGGATGGAACTCAGGGACACTTGACCACTGAGCCACATCCCCAGACCTATTTTGTATTTTATTTAGAGACAGGGTCTCATTGAGTCGTTTAGCACCTTGCTTTTGCTGAGGCTGGCTTTGAACTTGTGATCTTCCTGCCTCAGTCTCCTGAGCTACTGTGATTACAGGTGTATGCCACCATGCCTGGCTCATTGGACCACAAAGCATGAATTTGTTCACTGGGATCTGATGGGTCTCAAAAGAACTGCATTTTTCTAAGAGCCTGATCTCTTCCCAGACAGAAGTTTACCCTTTGGGAGAAATGGATTCTGCCATTACTTTTCCTGTTGGGTCAAAGCACAATGAGACATTCAGCATTTGGTGACTGAATTGGGAAATGAATAAATAAATGATCCTTGCTAATAGGAAGACAGCAAGGATTTGGAAAATCCTAAAGTTATTTCTTCTTGGTCCTAACATCTAACATATGTCATAGGATTTTTTTTTTCCCAGAATAATGGCAATCACACTCCAGGTCTTTGATGGTTCCCCTGCAGCCATACCTAATCTCATCCCTCACTGAGCTCCCACCCCATTTTCTCTCTATCTTATCGCAATAGACCCTGAATCGGTGTTATTTATGAGCCTTTGTTATCTTATCCTCCCGACTGTAAGTTTCTTGAGGGCAAATCTGCAGTGGTATTCATCATTGTACTCCCCACAGGATCCAGCACATAGGAGTGGCAATAATAACACTGTCACAGTCACAAAACCCTTCTGGTTTATAAAATGCTCCCAGCACACCTTGTGTTGGGGGCTCCCAAGCTCCCTGCAAGGCTGGTAGACATGATAATACTCTCTTTGCAGCTAAGAATTGAAGTTCGAAGAGATTATGTGACTTGATCACAATCAGACAACTCGTGCATTACAGATGCATCTCAAACAATTCTTTTGTGCCTTGAGTCCAGAATTCTTTCTGATTTACTTTTTTTAATAAATGGATGAATGGATGTCTTAACCAAGGAAGTAGTGCAAAGCAGAAGATGATGTCAGAATCCTAGATAAACTTAAAAGTGTAGAAGACATACAAAGTTCACTCAGAGTCCAAGTGTCTATCAAAGTCCTTAAGCAGCATACCAACCCCTACCAGCCTAGGGGAGGGAGAAAAAGGCTATTGCTCCATTCCTGTGGCTGACCATGTTGACTAATGGCAATTCTCTCTTGCAGATCTTGACAGTATCAGGACCACCCGAAGGAGGAACTCGAGTGACCATCCATGGCGTGAACTTGGGCCTGGACTTCTCCGAGATTGCTCACCACGTGCAGGTGGCTGGTGTGCCCTGCACACCCCTCCCAGGGGAATACATCATTGCTGAGCAGTAAGTAGGCCCTAGCTGGCCTGTTTCCTATTAATGCTTCAGGGTGGAGACTCTCCTCTTCCTCTTTGGGGCTTTTCCAGAATCCATCTCCCATCACCCACTCTGCCAGGCAACCTGTCCCAGAAACCCTCCCAGGGCACTCCTACCCACCTCCACCCTCAGAAGGTGGAGTTTTGCTTGATGTCCTGTTCCCTGACTCCTCGGGCATCAAGGCTCTCGGCACCAATCCTGCCCTTCATTCAGTCCATGCCTGCCCGCTGACATGACTGAGCCAGTTTCCCGACAAGCTCAGGCTCCTCCTTGGTCACCCCAGGCCCCTCCTGCCAGCCCCTATTGGAATGCATCCTGCACGGTGGGCTGCGGGCAACAATTTGTTTGGTGCATGGTGCTCTGACAGCAGCTTAATCCGAGCAGGGCCTCCGCCGGAGCAAATTCATTTATTTCACTAAGGGAAATGCCAGCTGGAAATTAGAAAATAGGCATGTAGTGGCGGACAAGCGACCGGGGCTCCAGGAGTGACATATGTTCCAATTTGGGGTGTTCATTTGGCAGTGGCGGCCGCTGTGAGTTGGTGGGCAGGAGGTGGGCAGGAAGCTGGGATGAGAGGATGGAAGGCGGGATGCCACCCCTCCACAGGAAGAAGGGAGGGAGCCATCAGATCATTCTGCCTGATTCGTCATGTGAAGTTGGGTCAAGGGATTCCACTGAGGATGCAGCTTTGCATGAACTACTTGGAGCATAACAGGAGCTTGACTTTGGGGCAGGGGTTTCCCCTCCCTTAGCCTCACTCCTCTGCAGCCTTAGGTCCTCCCCTTTGACCTCCTGGGAACCAGCCTTCAATAGCAACCATAAAAACCTCACCACTGTATCTTTCTTTCATCTGCACGTTTCAGTTAAGATAATATTTTCTCATCCATTATCTCATTTTTAATTGTTCAGGGCCCTGATCAGGAAATTATTGTCATTGTCATTTTGCAAAGCAAGAGAGTGAAAGACTCAGAGAAGTAAAATAACTATCCCCAGTTCACTAGGCGCACAAGGCAGAATTCGAGCTCCAGTCTTTTGTCCCCGGGTCTAGGGTGCTTCCTTTCCATAGCCACTGTGGGCAAGACTCCTGGACAGGAGAGGCCTGAATATTCCATGGTTCATCGGCATGTGGCTTTGAGACTCCCAGGGACCATGATTCAGTATGGCCCAAAGAAGTGTGAGAGGCAGAAGGGGTGAATCCCCAGACTCTGGGAACTAGGTGATGGCTACTGACCACAGACATGGAAGTAAAAGAGCTAACTTGATCCCTTCAGTCCTTGCATCCAATCCTTCACTGACAGCATTATCCTTGCAAGGGATGAGACTTGGCGGAAATGCTGGCTAGGCCTACAGGAAAGAGATGAAAGAGGGTGACAAGGAAAATGACAGAGTTGGTAAGAGCTGCCAGGGAGGAGCCTCATAGCCAGACAGTCTCCACAGAGGCCAGTTTTGTGGCAGACTACACTAGGCACTCAGTCATCCTGACCCCCAATCCACCCCGGCCTCGAGGACCTGCCTTGGGTCCTCTGGAGACAGACCAGACTCCAACTTGTTGGAAGGGTAGGARGGGTCAGACTTTTAGCTGAGGAGTGCAAATTGCTGGGCAGCTGAACCGCAGAATCTCATGAGATGTGGAATTAAACTGCATTTTAGCCCCAGCTGCTGTACTGACCAGCCCTGAGACCTCAGCAAGCTGTCCAGTCTTTCCGACCTTCATCGGCCTAATGTGCCCTACAAATGTAAAGAAGTTGAGTTCTGTTTATGAAATCCAAYGCACTGCATTCACCTAGGGCCATGAGGGAGAAAGTGTCAAGAGAAACTGGAAGTAAGGATATGAAAGGAGCCTTAGTGGGTGAATGGTCACCAAGATCCCTTGCCAAGACTGGTGGTGATCCTAGAAAACCACTGCCATCCTCGGGCATGGGACAGGCAGGAGGCTGTGAGCACACCCTGTGCCTTGCTGGAKGCAGCCCTGGTTTCCAGCCGTGCCAGACTCATTACCACTCTCGAGGTTTCAGAGTTTGTTAACATCATTAAAGCCTCCATCCCGGGTAGTGAGCAGCAGGCACAATCGTTACAGATGTCTGCAAGAGATGAATTTGGCTAAACGGGCTCAGTGCAGAGTCCTGGGCACGGGCAACATTAGCGGGCACAGTAATGATTCACCATATGCTTGTGCCGTGCCATCTATCACTCAGCAATTAGGTTAATGTTGGTTAAAGGGCCCTGCTTAGTCCTGCAATCAGCACCCCACAGGTCTGAGGAGGAGCCKGATGGTTCTGTCACAGGACATTTTCTGAGTAATGGGACACAGGTTGAGGGCGCTCTTCAGTGCCTCCTGGGACGGGGACAGACTAAGTTCAGGTCCACAGACCACTCTTCCTCTTGTCTGCTTTATATACCTGTGGAATCAGACCTGGATGGATGGATGTGAGATACATGTGCCTACCATCCCAGGGAGCAGGTGACAGTCACACCAATCTTTGGGAGGTTTTGTGGTATGGGAGCTAGGGCACTAGGCTAGTTAGTGCCAGGAAACTGGAGGTTAACGTGTAATAACTCAGCTATTTGTGAACTAAGTGGCTTTGGGTAAGTCACTTTGCTCCCTGATCCTCAAATGTCTCATCTGAAAAATAAGTATGAAGAATAGATGATCTCTACAATCAACTGGATGGTCTTTGGGTTGTGAAGCACTCTGTTTCCTGGAATCTGCAACACCCTCCATGAGAAAGCGTCTCGGTGGCACTTATKTATCTCCAGAATACTCTGTCAACCAGGAGTCAAACCTTCAAATGTCAAAGCTATCTAGTTTGGTCTATCTCCTCATTTTACAAAGAGAAAATCTGGACATCTCTAACTGGTGCCTCCTGATAATACATAGGGCCAGGAGCCACCAGAGACACAGGGAGGAGACCAGGAAGGTGGGAAGCCCCCTGAAATCAAACCACAGCACCCAGCTTGTAGAGCCTAGAGGAGGAAGTCACATGCACCAYGGCCTGTAGTGGGTCCACAGCCAAGAAGGGGGCAAAATGGTTAGTTCTCAGGGCCTCAGGAGACCATCTGGGTCTTCCCCACTACCCTCTGTCAAAAACCTCAACTCTGTCATGGCTCCTCCCTGAAAGACATCCAAAGCTTCCCATTAAATGCTGTGTCAATAGAATGGAGTGGTCAAAAGTCCTTGAGCTTTGGAGTCCAACTAACCTGTATATCAATCAGCCACTTACTGGAATTGTGGCTATAGATAAATCACTTAGCATCTCTGAGCCCAAGTGTCACTGTCTGTAAACTGGAGATACCAAGACCCTCCCGACAGCAGAGTCGGAGGACGGCAGGAGATCCTGCTCACATTCCCGTTCAGATCTTAGACCTACCACCCAGATCCTTGCCCATGGCCCCCTGCTCACCCACTCACCCACTGTCCCACCCACTTCCTGGGCAAGGAAAGAGCTCAGCTGCAATGTCCAGGAGAACATCCTGGACTAGCTCTGGGTGCTCACTGTAGCTCAGCTCCAAGCCCCTTCCTCACGCACCACATGCAGAGACATTCAGAGCCAACTGCAAGTGCTTAGCATTGCACGGATCAGGGAGCTTCCATTCCATCTGTTGCTCTTCTCCCAGGTTCTTGACAATACATGATGAACCCATGAAAATATCCTGGGAAAATACAGTGCACAGAGGCCCTAGCCCAATGTCAGCCTCCTACAGGGACAGCGGCACAGGGCCACASGAGCACTTCTCCTTTCCTGGACAGRCCCAGGAAGTTTCAGTGTTGCCCGTGACCTCTCACGTGTTCTCCTGTTTCCTTTTTCCCCATTTTCAAGCCAGTGATGATTTCTTCCCCTTATTCTTCTCAAGGATCACTCCTGCAGCGTCCAAGGGCAAAGGAGTCAGGAATAAGTGAGCCCTGATTAGCAGYGGGGAGGGGGCTTATCTGCCTCCTCTTCGCTCCCTGCCCCCATCACCTCCATAAATAGTGGACTCTCCTCTGCAGCTCATTGAGGGTGCAGGGCATGGATTATAGGGTAGCAGGGACCAGCCGGAGCAGGTGCCAGCGCCCACGAAACAAGATGGAGGAGTTGCTACTCCACCGCAGGTAGCAGTAGGAAAGGAACCGCACATTGTACGTTAAATTAAGCTTCTCAAATGCTCCACTAATGAGCTTTAGGGAGACAGTTACGTGTCAAATACTAATTGATCATCACCATCCTGTTTATTCAGGCTCATCATTAATTTATTTATTCACAGAGAAAGGGAAGGGAGACTATTCTTCCATGCACGTTCAGTACTTTCTTTTTGCATCTAATATGCTAAACGTAATAAGACAGTTATTGCATGTTAAGTAAATATTTGCCAGGAGTGAAAGTACTTATTTAGGATTAACAGTTATGAAGGAGATGGAGACCAGCGGCATGCCGTGTGTGTAAGCATGCAGTGTATTTGTTTAATGCAAGTTTTATTACATCGAAATGAAATCTCTGTTTAGTTACCTTCCTTCCTAGAGAAGCTGTTGAGATAAGCATCACTCAGTTAAACATGGATCTTCCCCACCGTGCCAGGATAATGCTGGGGATTAGCAGAGAGGGGGCCTGTTTTTCCGACTCCCCACTAAGCAAACCTACCAGAGACAYCAGGCTGCTCAGAACTCTTAAATGGTGTGGGAGACAAGGAAGATTTTTCCTTCCCTCCATTTCCAGYCTAATTTTTGCTGAGCCCAGAGGGACCCTCTCCCATCCAACCCAGGTCCAGGYGAGAGGTACCCCAGGCCCTGATTTCTTCAGGCCCTCCCCTTCCTCCAGCTGACCCCCGCCCCTTGCTAAAAGGCTGCTGCAGCTAAAGCATCCAGTTGTCTAAATGTGACTGTGTCACTTATCATAGGCGCCAGGGAAGTCTCGCTGGGGGTATCGATCTGGGCTGCTTAAGAGAGAGCGCCACACACCTCTCCCCGCGAGCTCTCCTGTTAGTGTGAGACAGGACTTCCAGCCCAGGGCCAAGTCACTCTTGCCCACCAGCTTAGTGTGCTCAGACCTTGATTAAGTGGGAGTCTAGTGTCYACTGCTGGCCTAATGAACTCATCCRCCTCCCACCCCTTCTCCTGCCGCCACAGATCTGCACCCCTCCCGTTTTCCTGGGAGCTCCTGTTTAGAGCTCTGCTCTCCCTGTATCTCACCAGATTATCTATCCCCCTTTTAAAAACTCACTGCAGGAAATAGACCACAATTGAATCAGTTTGGCAGATAGGCCTCACCTGCTCTTTTAGAGAGAGTGGTCCTGTTGGCTTGTCACATAGCAGAGGATACCAATTAAATTGCTGCCACTAGATCTTTCTGTTGGACATTCAGTCTATTCCTCCAATACGGGGAATSTACCCAAGGCTAGGCACCGTGCTAGGCACTGGGGAACACAGGCTTGGTCATAGAATTCAGCAATATAGTATATCAAAGGTACATAGGGCTTTAGAGAAATCGAATCCAACCYCCCTCAGTCCAAATGAGAATAAAGCCCAGAGAGGGAAAGCCCTGTATCCCAGGTCACACATCTAGATGGGTGACCCAGCTAGGTTTTTGGTTCAGCACTCCTGAAAGACTGTGACGAGTCATTCACTATGACCGGGAAGGCAAGCTGCCAGGGTTTGCTCACTGGAAGGTTTGCTCTCTCCTCAGGATTGTCTGTGAGATGGGCCATGCCCTTGTGGGAACCGCCTCTGGGCCAGTGCGCCTGTGCATTGGCGAGTGCAAGCCAGAGTTCATGACCAAGTCTCATCAACAGTACACCTTTGTGGTGAGTGCTGGGTCGAGGGCTGGGCTGCGGGTACCCAGCAAGGGCACACACACACACCTGTTCCCAACTTCTCCCAAGAAGGCTCCACATGCCCCTCCCCTCCCAAGCTTCTCCCAAACTCTAGAGAAGACCAGAAAAAGAGGACTTCTGGCCTGTCTTGCTGGGGTGGATGGACGTGTGGTTAACAAAGCTGTGGAGGCGCTGAAGTCCTAGCGGGGGCCACAGGTCAGAGTTCTAAATAAGGCCAAATGGAACTTTCTTAGAAAGTGGATCCTAGATGTGGAGGGTTGGGGGCTGCCCTTTGTCCCTTCAGTGTGATATCTTGGACTAATTCCAGCCTCATGAGGACACATGGCCTGAGGGACCTAATTCAATGGGTCCCTATTTATCCTCAGGTTTTGTTTTCTGTCAATGATACTTGAGTGAGATCTCGAGGGGATATGCCTTTGTGCACAGGGCCAGGAGAGGTGGGTCTAGGAGGGCATGGTTCTGAGTGTCAGTATGGTCACACACACACACACACACACACACACACACACACACACACACAGTTACACACACTCATGCCTGAAAACGCCTCTTTGTACTCAGCCAACAGGTAGTAGGATCACAAAGGCTTTCTGTTAGGCTGGCGCTAACGTCACACAGAATCAATAACTTGCTTCCGAGACCCCGCGCTTGCCAGGGCTAAATTCGTACTGAATCAATAACTTGTTTCTGGGGTCCCGAAGTCCCTTTTCTAACACTACTTACATGGCCACTTTGAATGCTTCATTAAAAGTTTTAACACTAGCAGATGGGGTCAAACCAACCTTGCTAAGTGTTTTGAGAAATCATTAGGCCGTGAAATTCTCTTCTCTCTCAAACATTTTACTGCTGATTTTAGGTTCTCYGGGCCTTTGTCTTCTCATCTGGGCATTTCTACCTTTTTCTCGTACTTTCCTCTCAGAATGGAGAGTACCACGGCCWATCTTGGGCCTACTGCGGATGAGAGGCAGACAGAGAAGAGTGAGATGAGGAGAGAACCGTCCATGGGAGAGCTGGGTGGGGCTTTRGGAACAACCCAGTGCCCCTTCCTCCCTTGACAAGGGAGCAAACAGATGTCCAGAATGATCCCGAAACGTACCTCAGGGCCCACAGCCAGTGAGTGASTGGCTAATACAGACTAGAGTTTTTACCTGTGTAGTCGTTCATTTAAATGTACTTTTCCCTCCATTTCCCTCTACGCTGAAGTAATTCCTCTCTGATGTAGGCCAGACATGATGTAGCCTAGACATGCCTTTTACGTATTAGGCTTACTCTTATAACTCAGTGAGTTTTCTAGAAAGTCSCAGCCAGCAGCATGCCACCCTCTTGGGGAGGGCGGGAGAAGTCATATCTGACATTTACTGATGGCTGTCAGCACTGGGAATCCTAATGTGCTTAGGGAGGGATAAAAGGCCAAGTATACAGACCATTTGTGGAGAGCTGTAGGCTCTTGGCTGCCCAACTTAGGCAAGGATGCTTTATTCAGCCTTATCGATTTTGTGCCAAAAAAATCAGGACAGGCTCTAGATAGAGAAGCATTTTCAAATTGTTCTCAATTTGTAAACTAATTGATAGATTAGTCAGTGTCACCTCTGCTTTCCCTTCAATGTTATGAGCATAAGACTCCCCAGGGAGTTAATTAATTCCAATACGTGGCCTTCTGCCTTCCCTGGACATGCCCAGAGACTCTTAGAAAGGGTTTCAGCTCCTGAGAGAGCATTTGGGACTGCAAAGCCCAAGAAAAGTACCTCCACTCCTAACAGGAAGATAGTCCCTTCTTCTAACTTTAATTCTAACCCTGGACCTAAGCTGCAAGTATTTCTCTGCTTCTTCCCAAAGAACCCTTCCGTGCTGTCACTCAACCCCATCCGAGGGCCAGAGTCTGGAGGCACCATGGTAACCATCACAGGCCATTACCTTGGTGCTGGGAGCCACGTGGCCGTATACCTGGGCAACCAGACCTGCGAGTTCTACGGGTGAGATGAACTTGAAACCTGGCTAGAAGACCRCCTCTGGATCTCGTGCCCACACGCRCCTCTGAATGTTCGTGCATAGGCCTGCCCCATTGCCTCTGTGTTATTTGCTACTTCCTGGGCCCAAACTGTTCCAGCCATTGTGAGACATACAACCGACTTGTCAGTTTATGTCCCATGCATCACAGGGACTGGTTACTTTGAAAAGTCATTGGAAGTGAGGGCCATGAGAAGGTTCCTAGGAGCTCTCCTAGTCACCATGAGGATTGGGCATTCATTGAGTCCCCACTATAGTGGCTTGAGAATCATGGAGGCTGCATGGTCTGCTTTTTAAGCACAGATACTGATGCTCCAGGAATCCCCTGCATTTAAAAAAAAAATGAACACTTATTATTATCAGACACTCCTATGAGCCCTGGGGATGCAGAGASTCCTGAAAGAATTCTGAAAGACTCCATGCCTGAGAACTCAGTGTGCCCAGTATTGCCTRATAATAAACTATAAATTCTACAAAAGCAAGCATTGTGTGGTAATCACTATGCATAGTAAGTATTCAATGAATATTTATTGACAGCCTGACCAGACTGTCTATAGTCTAGAAAAATCCAGATAAGAAGGAGTTCACCCAAATCCCATGGAACCTAACCCCTGCTCCACATTCTCTAATCTACTTTTCCAATGTGTTCCTTCCCTGACCCTTCTAGGGTTGGGTCTCAGGTAAAAAGAGGGCACAGGTGAGGGGTGTGAGCCATAGCATAGAGCATAAAGGAATAGCAGAAATTTTCTGGGCCACACCTTTGACCAAGGGAAGTATCTTTTCAAGCCAAAGGGCACTCCCTAGTCCCCATGCCTTTCTTCTCAAACATCATGTTTTCTTCCCATCAGGAGGTCCATGAATGAGATCGTGTGTGTCTCACCCCCATCAGCCAATGGACTGGGCCCAGTCCCGGTTTCCGTGAGTGTTGACAGGGCCCGGGTGGATAACAGCCTGCAGTTTGAGTACATAGATGACCCTCGMGTCCAGCGCATTGAGCCAGAGTGGAGCATTGCCAGGTGAGGCTAATGGTGGAATGTACCTGGCTGCCAAGTGGCATGACCTCTGTGGCCCAAGGGTGGTTCACGGGAGGGATCCCAGTGGTTGAGGTTCACCATTCCAGGTTGAGGGATCTCTTGCCTAAACTAGCCTCTGCTTGTCCTCAGCGGCCACACACCCCTGACCATCACAGGCTTCAACCTCGATGTCATTCAGGAACCAAGAATCCGGGTCAAGTTTAATGGCAAAGAATCTGTCAATGTGAGTAGCCATTGGTCCACCCCAGTCCTCAGTTATCACAGTTCCCTATGAACTCTGGGTCAGGCATAGAGACACCTAGATACTGGAGAGGGGAATCGGCTCAAGACTCTGGGCCTGGAATCAGGATCCCAAATACCAGAGCTTTAAAATCATTTTTATAATTACAGATTATTTCTTGTCAGAGGTGATGTATTGAGTGTATGGTTTCAGAGCTTCTGACAGAGCATAAAAGGATTCCTGTTTTATGGCACGTTCCCTTCAAGGTTCATTGAGAAACGCTGGGTGGCTGGGGGAGAGATTCTGGCTCTGCGTGCAGACATTTCTGGATTGGAAGCAGGACTCTGCCATCTGTTAGCTATACAACCATGATCAAGTCACTTACTCTTTCTGATCCATGTGGTACATGGCGGTGCTAAGACTCGCTTCGAAGATTTGTAATATGGCAGCCCTTGGCCAATGCTTGGTTGGCGCTTGATAAATATTAGTCGCTTCGGACAAATAATTCTGACCTTGCCCAGAACCTAATTGCTGGGATGATCAGGTTGAACATTTTACTTTATTCCTTTGCCCAGGGCCACATAATTTTATTCCCCCCACCACCACCACCAGGGTGGGTTTTTGTGAGTTTAAAGTTCTCTTATTCTGATGAGAACAGAATGTCTGATAAGTTATCATAAAGTTTTCAGTTTGCTCTAGTGGCTCCATTTCACTCTTAAAGCCAGTATGTTCTGAAATATTATCATATTCACCATTATAGCCCAGAAGATGCGGTCAAGGCCGTTGATTCTCATAGGCAGTTCTGTGATTACTGCTCTGACCTTCAGAAKACTGGAGAGGCTAAGATGGAGATGCCAAAGATGGTGTCATCTCTTCTCTTATCCCCGACCCATTCCCAGCATGCTTAGAGACCGTGAAAATACACTAAATGATGGAGTGCTAGAACACTGGACCCGAAAGGTTCTCAGGGATCATCTGGTCCAGCCCCGTCCTTGCATAGCTGACTGAGGAAACTAAGGCCAGATGGATCAATGACTTGCTGCAACCCTAAAGGTGACTGGTGGCAGGACCACACTAGATCCCAAACATCTGGACTGTTCATAACTAGACCACAGCAATGCTGGTGAGCCAGGTATTCCCATTATGCCAGAGACATGGGAGCACACTTCAGAACCCACCACAGTTAGCCACACACTTCCAGTTAGGTGAGCATAGGCCTCTTCCCCCGGGTGTAGGCTGGAGCCATGGGGAAAGAGCCTGTACCCCCATTTGGCTTCTGTAGGAATCTAAGTGTTCCCAGAAGCTCACAGATCACCCCCATTCCCAGGGTCTCCGGGAGGAGGTGAGACGTAGGACCCGGAACAGTCCCAGACAGCCTTGATGGACAAGCCATCTCCCYGAGAAAATTAAACACATGTTTTAAAATAGAGTTTATTATTATTCAGACCCAGCAAGGCCAGAGTGCAGTTTGTCCTTCACACAGAGCCAAGTTCCAAAAGAAGGGAGCCATGCCATGGGGGCCACGTGGGGAAACCCCAGCTCTATCAGGAGGCAGAGGGAAAGGAGAAACGGCAGCTAGAGTCTCTGCTGAGGTCTCGGCAGGAAGGGATACGCATGCAGGGCCAAGGGTTTCAGATCAGCTGGTTGGAGTCATTTCAGTGGCTCTGTGCATAGGGACGGTCCTCCCTGGTCGATTGGTACTGAGCCCTGGGGTGATTAGGGAATGTGGACAGTGACTCTCGGTGTAAAAGGAGATGGTTAGAAAGTGGGGCTGGGTTGATTGGTTTGCATCTGAAAGGCATGTCCCTGGCCGGCAAGTCCTTTGCCATCTCTAGGAATTGGCAGCTGTCTCCAAAGAGCTGAGTCCTAGATGCCAAGCTCCAGTATACAGAAAACCAAAGACATAATGACCACCATACACAGAGAATTTTCTAGAGTGAGTACATGACTGACAAGAGGGACCCCCGAAGCCCACAGTCTTCATCCCAGGGAAGCCAATGGGAGGGAAGACTGATGGGGCTTGAGCCTCGGGTCCCTGCGCCTCATAAAGACTCATTGGCAGCCCTGGCAGGAATCTCCCCAGCACTTTCCCCAGCCCCCCACACCATGGATCTCAGGGTTTCAAGGAACTAAGATTTAGTTCTACCTCTGGAGAGCTGGGGGCCCTGGGCCTCCCTGCCTGGAGTCCAGAGGCCCGCAGGAAAGGCCTGTGGGAACACAGTGTCCCTCAAGACTGGCCGCACAGTGGGAAGCTCAGACCTCTTCCTGATCCTCTGCTTGCAGGACAGAGAGAAGGAAGCACTTTGCCCGCCCCGCCTCCTTGTCATCACCCCTTTCGGGTCCCATCTCAGCTCACCCGGAGCCATCTCTCTGGCCCTTTGGGTTTTGAAGCAACCCGAGTGGATGGCGAGGAGGGCCAGGGCAAAGCTGCAGAGCCCAAAGGAATGTTTGGCAGACAAAATGCGGATGCAGCACAGAGCAGGAAACACAGAGGCCTCTTGTTTGGGACTGATTTGCTTATTCACAGGGAAACCGGGAGAAGCAGGGAGGCCGGTGGGGACAGAGGATGGAGAGACACTCTGAGTGAAGCTGGTGGCTTCCCTCCTGAGCCAGGGTTTCCAGTCCTTGGCTCCACTCTACCTATTTGACCACAGCCCTTGCTTTCCTGTGCCTCAGTGTCCCCAGCTGCAATATGAAAAGTGCATCAAGTTCAAAGGGAGCTGCAGAAGCGTGCAATGAAGAGGGCAGGAGTGGGTACCGACCGCTACTACAGTGAGAAGGCCACAGCAAGCCGTTTGGTTTAGACTGTGGAGCTCCCTCTAGAAAGGGAGGGTTAAGACTTGGACTTGACGCTCTGACATAATCTCTAGATAAAATCTCTATGCAAGTGTCAGCTCTTTTGCAATTTCACACACAAGTCTTATTTCTGAACATGAAGTCCGTGTGTGTGGGGTGTGTGTGTGTGTGTGTGTGTGTGTGTGTGTGTGTTGGCCAGCTACCCAACACGTGTGGGGCCCTGCCAGGACAGTATGTACTTGAACGGTCAGAGTTCTCAGAGGTGCCCTTGGCTATTCCTGGGACCTCCTGGCTCCCAGAGCTGAAACTGAGCTGTGCCCAGGGGGAGAGCCAGGGGATGGGGCAGGAGTCTGGATTTCCTTCCCAAGGCCTGCATGAGTTCTCTTTAGTGGTTTCTTCAGTCTGGCTGCCACCTGGGGCAACTCCAGAACTAACCACCAAAGGAAAAGGCGGGTGGGGGAGCCAGCTAGGATTTTTAAATAAATGGCAGACCAAAGAAAAAAGTATAACATGAATTCAGTGTCAATTCTGTAAGAGAGAGAGAGAGAGAGAGAGAGAGAGAGAGAGAGAGGTCCTGGGTAAGACGTGGAATTGCACAGTCCTGTTTATTCAGTAAACACTAACTGAACACCTACTATGTGCTAAGCAGGGCAAAGTGCTCATCTCATACCACTTTCTGCTCCATACTACCCACCTGCCCACACACCCTACACTGCTTCTGTCCTACTTCTTTCTCAAACATCCCCTGCTTCCTCACCCCCAGGCCCTTGAAGTGCTGTTCCCTCCTGGAACTTGTTCCCCCACACCTCCCTCTCTTTGTCTAGATAAGCCTTCTCATTCTTGAGATTAAAGTGCATTCCTTTCTTCCAGAGGAAAACTTGGATGAGTCACCACCACCCTGCTGCAGGCCATCCTTCCCCCATGCACACACACTCCCAGAGTCCCTGATCCTCCCAGGGTCTGTGTGTTTCACATCCATTCTTGCATTTCAGCATTGTGTTGTGCCCTACAATGCCGCAGGCCCTCTGCCAGGTGGACACTGCAAGGCTGGTTTAATCAGCAGCCTGCCCCCGGGGTTGGATCTGTTTCACTCTGTGGCCTCAACTCTTAGCACAGTACCTGCCACAGAGTAGCAGCTCCAGATAATGAGTGAATGAATGAATGGATAAATGAGATTAAAATGCACTTCCGCCCAAATGCCACCACCTCTCATTCAGAACCCCACCATGTGATAAAAATCAGCAAGTAACCCAAAGCAGGCAAACTCAAGCAAGCAGAGAGTAGGAGACGGGCTGTGGGATCCCGGCCTCTGCCCACTGGAGCTCACATTCGAATACTCCTCTCTGGGTCTCATAGGTGTGTAAAGTTGTGAACACCACCACCCTGACCTGCCTGGCACCCTCCCTGACCACGGATTACCGGCCAGGCTTGGACACTGTGGAGCGGCCAGATGAGTTCGGATTCGTCTTTAACAACGTCCAGTCCTTGCTGATTTACAACGACACCAAGTTCATCTACTACCCCAACCCCACCTTTGAACTGCTCAGCCCCACAGGAGTCTTGGATCAAAAGCCAGGATCGCCCATCATTCTGAAGGTAGGGGTCTGCAGAGAGGAGAGTTGCCCCCCCACACATAGACCATGGTGGGACGGAGCACCCCACTTCTCCTGCTTGTCTCTCTGCTTCTCCTGTCTGTGCTTTGAACCCTTAAAGCTTCCATCTCCCAATGGGCAGAGCTTGTTTGTAGGTATTGACCCACTGAGCCACGTAGAGTGCACGTGGGATTCTCAAATAATGCTTTCGACTCTCTGCTGTTCTGGGGAACTTGGGGAAGCAGAGGTTCTGCAGAGACTTGGAGGTAACTCTTTCCTGGTCTGTGCCACCTCCGGCTACAAGTCCTCACCAAGAGCTTGTAGTCTCCAGATGTTGTCAGCCCAAGAGTTTTATTACTCTACCCGCCACTTTGGTTAAATCCCAGGGATCCTCCTCCAGATTTTTCCTTTTCAGGATTTGGTCTTTCCTACTCTCTTCGTCCCTTTCATTATCTCCTTCCTTTGTTTTCTCTTAAATTGTGGCTCCAAAAACCCTACCATGGAATCATTTATTGGTTCTCTCATTGCTTTCCTTCCTCTGGGCTCCTGAGTGTCTTTTTAAGTACACAATCAGCTTCTGCGGGCAGGTGTCAATCACTCCTGTTAAAATGACTGTTCTCCACAGGGCAAAAACCTCTGTCCCCCCGCCTCTGGAGGAGCGAAACTCAACTACACGGTGCTGATTGGAGAGACCCCTTGCGCTGTCACCGTGTCTGAAACGCAGCTCCTCTGCGAACCCCCCAACCTCACAGGGCAGCACAAGGTCATGGTGAGTGAGCCCCTCTTCTGTTTCTTTCTTCTGTCCCTCCTCCCACCACTGTGCATGCATGATCTGTCGTAAAGAAAAGCTCTCTCTTCCACTTCGTTGCCTGACTCACACCCTCAAGTATCTCCTCATCTCCATGTTCTACATTGAAATGGTTAGAAAGTTTAGCACACAAGAAACTGAAGGCAGATACCAAGGCAGGAAGTTGCTCTGTATCCAAATCTGTACCATGTGGTTGTGATCTGTCATGTCCAAGGATTTGATGGCATGCCAGGGCTCTACACCTGTGTGCATCCGTGTGCGTCTGTGTGTGTACAATGCACAGGTTCACGTGGGCGGGATGGTGTTCTCGCCTGGCTCGGTGAGTGTCATCTCAGACAGCTTGCTGACCCTGCCAGCCATCGTCAGCATCGCGGCCGGCGGCAGCCTCCTGCTCATCATCGTCATCATCGTCCTCATTGCCTACAAACGCAAGTCTCGAGAAAATGACCTCACGCTCAAGCGGCTCCAAATGCAGATGGACAACCTGGAGTCTCGCGTGGCCCTGGAGTGTAAGGAAGGTGAGTGAGGCATACATACCTCGGCTTCTCGGACCCCCATTCTCCACTGGCCTTATCTCCCTCCTCCTTGCACGAGAGTCCCATCTTCACTCTCAATCTCCCACCGCCAGCCTGGGTTTTTCCAGAAACTTCCTTTGCCTCTAGGGCTACAGAAGCCCTATGAAGGATGCCCRCAGGTAGCCAGGTGAGGTGGTGTATATACCTGTAATCCCAGTTACTTGGGAGGCAGGAAGATTGCAGGTTTGAGACTAGCCTGAGCAACTGGATGCCATCTCAAAATAAATAATAAAAATGATGGGGCTGGGGTCATGGCTCAGAGGTAGAGCGCTCGCCTAGCATGCATGAGGCACTGGGTTCGATCCTCGGCACCACATAAGAACAAACGAATGTATCCACCTAAAACTAAAGATACATAAATAAATAAATATTTTTTAAAAAATGACTGGGGAATGTAGCTCAGTGGGAGTAGAGCACCTCTGGGTTCAATCCCTAGTACCACAAAAAAAAAAAAAAAGAATGGCCACAGGTGATGAGGACCCAGGTCCCCCTGCACTGTTCTTGTCCACCCCCTCCCCTCACTCCACTCACAATCTGGCTGACTCCATTTCCCTTTCAGGGACTGTATGTCCCCACAGTCAGAGCCACCCAGACCCATTGTCTCAGGCTAGATCAGCCCAAAGGAGCATCTGGCTCCTGCTTAGGGCAGAGTCATCTTCACAGAGTGTGGGAGCAGCAGCCGGAAGGCAGGAGAGCACCTCACCTCTGCTGGGCCATGCACCTGCCCCAGGGTTGGTTCCTACCAGTACTGCAGGCTGAGCTTGGAGGGCCACGCTTGCTGGCACCCCTGGCCAGGAACCTGTGTGGGAATGGGGATTGTGATGGCTCCCGGCTCCCACGCAGCGCCCGTCATGGGGTGACTAGTGTACCTGGCATGCACCTGAGCTGAGGACCTGGCAGGCTCTCTGGGTAAACATCTCAATTAGAAATCAAAACATTTCTCCTTTTGTTGCAAACGTCATTCTCAGAAACAAGCCCTCTGCTGATGGAAGGGAGGGGCTGGCTGGGAGAAGAGCGGCAGAGGCTCTCCTGGCACCAGGCCCACAGGGCTCAGGCACCGAGGAGACAGGCCCAGGGTGAGACCTCGGGAGCCCTGTGCTGCCCAGGCTTGCCTGTTGGCCCAGCATCTGATGACCAGGTCTCCCCAAGGTGTTTGCATCTTGATTCATCCTCTTGCTTAAGAAAGGGCAGCAATTTGCCTGTTTGGGTCTTTGTCAGAGCCCCCAGCCACTTCTTTACCTGCTGCTAGCTCCTCCAAGAGGGTCTCTACTGAATGGCCCAGTTTGGGGTATTCTTCTTTTTTCTTTGTTTTAACCACATTTTCAGCATGTAGGAAGAAAATCAAAATTATAGACAAGCACAGGAGACAATACAAATTGCCCTTCTTCTTAGTACCTAAGAAAAGCAGTGTGTCTGTCAGCTTTCCATCACTGTAACAAATACACGAGATAATCAGCTTATAAAGATAAAAGGTTTTTTTGGCTCGCAGTTTTAGAGGTTTCTGTCCATGGTCATTTGGCCCTGCTGCTTTAGGCCTGTGATGAGACAGCAGGTCACGGCAGGAGTACGAAGTAGAGCTGAACTACTCACTTCACAGCCAGGAAGCAAAAGAGCAGAAGAAGAAGAGGCTGGGGCCCTGCTCTTTCCTCAAGGGCCTTTTCTCAATGACCCAGGATCTCCCACCAGTCCCCAATTCAAAGGTTCCTCTACCTCCCAATATGCCCACCTGGGAGACATCTAATATCCAGACTAGAGCAGGCAACCTAGGAATTTCTTCTCCCACCCAGATGCTCCCTTCCCACCCTCCCAGTCTCTGCACCTCACTTCCCCTTCCTTCTTTACAAAGCCAACCTGTTTCACTCACTCACACAGCTTTTGCTGAGCTCCAGACGGACATCAATGAGCTCACCAGCGACCTGGACCGCTCAGGAATCCCCTACCTGGACTATCGTACCTATGCCATGAGGGTCCTGTTCCCGGGCATTGAGGACCACCCTGTCCTGCGGGAGCTGGAGGTAATGCCCATCTCCCTGGATCAGCCACCCAGCAGGGATGCAGGCCAGGGTTTCCCAGGAAGTCCAGATGGGACTCAGCAGCATAGAGTAAGGTGACCGGTGAGGCGGGGCCAAAAGTCCATCCCAGCATGACAGCAGTGGGGCTGTCAGGAATGATCCTGGGCAAAGGGGGCACCCGGGCATCTGGGGACAGTGACAGCACAAGGAACATTGTTTGTGAGCTTTTAATTAATGACTGAATTAATGAACTGAGATCCTGACTCGTTCTCGAATGGATTTAAGGTGGCTTAAAGAAAGACTTGGGACTCTTGAGAGATTTGTTTGTTCACTTGTGGGTTTGTTTTCCTGAAGTTAATAAATCAGGACAGAGGAGATTAAGGGAAGACTAGTAAACGGAAGAAGTCTGAAGGTATCCTAGGAAATCACAGGGTCCCCTTGGCGGGCGGCTCGCGGAGCCCAAGCTCCCTGCCCCCTGGGGAAGGCCAAGGCAGGTGCAGCCTTCAGAGGAGCCTTTGCTACCTCACGGAGCCTCAGGGTGGGGGTACTTACAGGCCTCAGGAGAGGGTCCCATCACCAGCAGGCCCTGCTGAGAGCCTGGGGTAGGAGGCCAGGAGCCTGTCCTCTGAGCTGTCGCCCCTCCACGCCTGCCCCAGGTGCCGGGGAACGGACAGCAGCACGTGGAGAAAGCCCTGAAGCTCTTCGCCCAGCTCATCAACAACAAGGTGTTCCTGCTGACCTTTATCCGCACCCTGGAGCTGCAGCGCAGCTTCTCCATGCGTGACCGGGGCAACGTGGCCTCCCTCATCATGACTGGCCTGCAGGGTCGCCTGGAGTATGCCACTGACGTCCTGAAGCAGCTGCTGTCTGACCTCATTGACAAGAACCTGGAGAACAAGAACCACCCCAAGCTGCTTCTCCGGAGGTCTGACCTGTGGCAGGATGTGGGAGGGTGGCCCGTATCTGTACAGGGACATGGCACCCTATTCGATGAGCCCCTGTGGAGCCCAGAGATGCCATTCCCCCAAAATGGTACCTGGGCAAAGCAGCCTGTCTCCTGACATCTCCGAGGGCAGGGTCTGTCTGACCTTCTGGCCATCCCAGGGGACTGCAGGGTCTGAAGTCACCCAAGTATGACGGAAGAGCCCGTGCCTAGGCTTGGAGTTCAGCGAGAACCCAACCCTGCTACCGGCTAGCTCTGTGGTCTTGGGTCCATGGCGTAACTTCTCTGTTGTTTAGTTTCTTCATAGCCAAGTGAAATAAAATATAACTTCAATTCCTCTATCATGCTGGCCACGTTCCAAGTGCTCAGTGACCCGCCATCCATGTCCAGTGGCCACCATATTGGACAGGATAGACAGAAACCATTCCCATCATCGCAGGCCTTTCTGAAGGCCAGCGCTGATTTAGAGAGACCGTGTGGCTTCCATGCCCAGCTCTCTGGATTGGGATCATCAGCATCCACCACAAGCCCCAGGTGCCACTTTCCTGGCAGGAGAGAGGGTTGGAGACCCTGCCACCCCTTCCTCCCAAGGCCACGGGCAACCCCACATGGCTCTGGAGCTCCTTTGGGCTTCAGGAGTTGGAACACCCCCTCTCCACTCAGCGCCCCTCCTCCCTCCCAGCCTTCTGCTCAGGAGGTCTCAGGCTTCCAGGCCCCACGTGGGGTGAGGAGGAAAGAAGGATGGCTTTGTTTTATGAGTACTGAGCCCCCATCCTGCCAATCTGAGCATTAGAAACTCTCATTAACAACTGTTGTATTTAAATTAGAGCTAATCTCAGGCACAATGCGGAGAGCGGGTGCTGGGAGGGCCCGGGGAGAAAGCTACAATTTCTTCTGCCATTGTCACTCTCTCCCAGGCCCAGATTGCTGAGCCGCCCTGGCAAATGCCTGGGATTTACTGCAGCCAGAGGGTATAATTTGCACCACGTGCAGGGAGTTAAAATACCCTTCCGGCATCCCCATTTCCAAGGGTCTGTCATGGCTGCTTTGTTTCTTCCCAAGTGCCCAGATCTGCAAGCCTGGGAATGGGGGAGGGGAGAGAGAAGCCATTCCCTTCGCAGAAACAGATCTCCTGTTGGCTAAACTCTTAAGCACTGCCTCTACCTGCAGGGCTGGGATCTGAGAGCCCTGAAGACAGCAGTAATGATAGCTAATATTTACATAGTGCTTGCTGGGGCGCCAGGCGTTATTCTTAGCACTTTAAATGAATTAACTCATTCGATGCTAGCAACAACTGTGTCAGGTAGATGTCATCACTGTCTGCACTTAGAGATGGGGAACTTAACCCGGAGAGGTTAAATTACTTGCCCAAGGTCCCTCAGCCAGTCTGAGAACCCAAGGCAGCCTGCCTCTGAGCATTTGGAGGGGCAGGTACCAGGGATGCAAAGCAGCAGAGAGACTTGCAGGACACCCCCCCGAGGAGGAGGAAAACTCTTCATCGCCCAGAGACCAGAAGGGAATGTAGTACTGGTGCTCCATAGCCTTGTGGGATGGTGACCTGTTTCTGCATTCCCTGTGTTGGGTGCAGCCAAAGTAGTTTATGGTGCCACCAACCAGCAGGGATGAAAGGTCCTGGCCCTCCATTTTCATAGGAAATTGAGACCCAGAAAGAAGCCACCCCCGGCTCAAGTCACACTTCTAGTTACGTACTAGGAGAGGTGGGCTGGGACCCAGGGATCCTCCTGACTCCCAGCCCTTTATTCTCTCCTGTCCACACAACAAGCCCAGATCCCACCACCAAGACCCCTCCATAAAGGACTGACCCTCATCCTCCTTCTGCCTCCCCCAGGACCGAGTCTGTGGCTGAGAAGATGCTGACCAATTGGTTTGCCTTCCTCCTGCATAAGTTCCTCAAGGTGAGGGGAGTGAGATGGTCCAGAGCTGGGAGCACAAGCCTGGCTTCCAGGGTTGCATGGGGGTCCCCGCCCTGAGGAACAGGAACTTCTGGGCCTGGATGCTCCCAAGCAAAGCAGGCCAAGGAGGTCTTTCCCACGGCCTCTGCTCCAGAGGCAGAAAAGAGGGGCCCCAGCCCATCCTCCCATGCCTCGCTTGTGTCCCTAGGAGTGCGCGGGGGAACCGCTCTTCATGCTGTACTGCGCCATCAAACAGCAGATGGAGAAGGGCCCCATCGATGCCATCACAGGCGAGGCCCGCTACTCCCTGAGCGAGGACAAGCTCATTCGGCAGCAGATCGAATACAAGACCCTGGTGAGGAGGCCACACGCTCCGGGGACAGCACAGGCACCTCCTGCTCTCATCCATACTCTACCTTCTGACCCCAGAGGCAGTCTGTGGGGATCAGCACAGAGGTGGAGGGATCAGTCTGGGGCAAGCCCAAGGGGTATGTGAAATGTAGCAAGGTCAAGACGCTCCTGGGCTCCCCTCTCCCCATTTCATTTGGTGAGCCTTAAGAGAGCTCTATGCCTCCACTTACCCTAGATAATATCGGGGGAAGAAAAAAGGTCACTCCACCCTAGGAATGGGGTAATTACCATCATCACTGATGCGCTGATTCCTAGTGGAGAAACTTTGGGGAAGTGTGTGACCAGCCCCCGATGCACCCGGAACCATCTTTGAACCCTTCGGGTGCCTCAATCCAGGATCATAGTCTCCCCTCAGCCACTGGTGAGCTAGAGTAGAGTCCTGTTTCTTTGGGAAAGAAGGAGTGGACATAGTGACTCAGGCTGCCATGTGGCAGATGGCAGGAAGGTAAGAGAAACTGAGGCAAAGAACAAAGCCTTATTTCTCCTACAAGGAGAAGAGGGCAAACCTTGGAAAAAGAAGATTCTGAGTTCTCCACCCCTCTGCCTCAAACTGTCCTTCAAACTGTCTGCTCACCCTCGATCCCCACCTTGTAGATCCTGAACTGTGTCAACCCCGACAATGAGAACAGTCCTGAGATCCCAGTGAAGGTGCTGAACTGCGACACCATCACACAAGTCAAGGAGAAGATCCTCGACGCCGTATATAAGAATGTGCCCTACTCCCAGCGGCCCAGGGCCGTGGACATGGACTTGGGTAGGAAGCCTGGCCTTGGAGTGTGAGGGTGAGGGGAGACCTGTGGCTTCCTGGAGGGCATTCAGGTCGTGAGAGGGGTGGGAAGACGTGAAGCTCTGCCCTAACCTTCCCACTCCCCTCCCAGGAGTGACTGGGTCCTGGCCAGGTGAGGGCCACAGGCAGTGCTCCTCCCTCCTGGCACTGCCTGCTCAGGCATGCCCGTCCATCTCTGCAGAAGCCCACACATCCTCCCCTGCTCCCCTGACTCCATGGAATCCTGAATGTCTCTGAGCTCTATCAATGACCTCAGCTGGAGAGAGCCAGGGTTGGCACAGACCAAGTGGCCCTGGCTCTGCCCCCTCATGCCACATGCATCACCTTCTCTACCCAGAATGGCGCCAAGGCCGGATTGCCCGAGTCGTGCTGCAGGATGAGGACATCACTACCAAGATTGAGGGCGACTGGAAGCGGCTCAACACCCTGGTGCATTACCAGGTAGAGTGGGTGTTCCTTTTTTTTACGATTTATTTTTTTATTATTATTATTAGTTGTTCAAAACTGAGTGGGTGTTCCTTTCCACAGGAGCTCTGCCTCAAGACCTTTAGCATCCCAGAATGTCCCTTTCCCTCTAAACTTTGCTTTATTAGCTCAGAAGCCTAAAAGGGATTTTCTTCTCTTCTTTTTCTTCCTCTCCCCTGATGCTGGGGCAGAGATTCTCATTAGATTGGGGAACATTAAAAAAAAAAAAAAAAAAAAAAAACTTGTAAAAAACATGAGTCCTGAAACTCCACCTTCAAAACAGCTGTAACCGGTCAGGAGCAAGGTGTAGGCATTTCTATTATCTCTGCATATACAGAAAGCCCTGAATATTACAAAGTCCTTCACCTGGACAACTATCTTAAGATGCCTGGCACTTTCTCTCTGGCCTCTTACTCTTGCAGCCGATGCTCTGGCTTGCAGTTTAGCTGGGAATTGGATGGGCTTGCCTTCAGGTCTTACATTCTGCCACTTACTAACTGGTGTCCTTAGAAAAGTTACTTAAGCTCTCTTTCTTTCCTGTAAAAGGTGGCTTCTAGCAATCCCTGCCCTGTACAGACATGTGGACTAGTTAAATGTCAAAGGTGCAGTGTTGATATACTGGCAGACACACTGAATGAATAGTCCAAAAAAAAATCCAGCAGAGAACACAGGATCCAGGAACACCCACTCCCACCTCCCCTTCCCTCCCACGGGAAGTGCTCACAGCTGTGGGGGGGTCTCTGTAAGATTAAGCACAGGTAGACAGATTGAGATTCGGGAAAAATACTAAAATAGAAACTGGAAATGAGAGACACCAAGGGAAATTAAACCAACCAGAGGAAGTGCCTCAGGCTGCAAGACCCATGGGATTGTCTGATTAATAATATCCTCCTATGTCCCTGTCTCACAAAGGGAGACATGCAGAAAAGCTGGCAGGCTGGGCTTGCAAACGCTGAGCTGCCAATGACTAGGATGCTGGGAGGCCCTGGAGCTGGCCGGGAGCCTCGAGGTTACAGAGGAGGCCAGGGCCCTGGGGATAACCCAGCTGCTCTTTTCTGGGCTCCACCCTGCTCTCTGACCATCATCCCCTAAGTGGCACCCTGCCTGGACCCCAGCCCCACATGGAGTGAGGATAGTTGTAGAAGGGAAGAACTAAGGTTTGGGGAGCTGTATTTAAACCCCACCTCCCCACTCATTGGGCATGATTTTAATCTCTCCCAACCTTGGGATTGTCATCTGCAAAATGAAGATGATAACCCTGATTGGTGAAGGTATGAAGGTGGCTGGAAGGGTTAGAAACAACAGGTGAGGTCCCCAAGGATGCAGCTATGATCACTCCCCATTAATTCTACACATGTATGCACACACACCATCACCCCATGTGGTTAGTACATCCTGTAGAATGATTGTAATGAACCAGTTAGAGCTGAATAAGAAAGTGCAAAAGAGAATAGTACTATGCACCCAAATCCCACATCTAAAGGGCAGGAGTAGGGTTTGTCTGCCTCTGTGTCTGATGCCCTAATGCTGGGCTGCCCATCCTATGGCTTCCAACCAGAAGAAAGGAATATCCTGTTCTAATGGTGCTCATCATACAAAGCACTTCCAATTCCCTGATGTCATTTATCATTCATGTATTCATTCGTTCCTCAAATATTTACTGAGCTTTGCTGAGTGTGAGGTACTTCCCACATGCTAGCCCTGAGTGACAGGGACAGCAAAGACTCTTCTTCCCTTTGGAATAGGATGGTAATGACCAGGATGATGATGATGATGATGCTCATAATGGCAACACTAATGCCAATGCTTGCTGAGTGCTCACTGGGCACCAAGCACCATGTTTAGCCTTTATGTGTTTTAATTCCTTTGCTAATTCCCACAATAATGATTATTAGACCCGAGTATTGTCCACATTGACAAATGAGATCACTGAGGTCCAGAAGGTTAATTCATCCAGCTGGGAAATGGCAGAGCCTCAGTCAGACCCAGCGAGATACTTTGAACACAGACTTGCGCTGCCTGTGGCTTCAGAGAGAGAGAAAAAACAAGGACAACAGAGATTTAGTGACTAGATCCAGAATTGAGCTGAACCATGGTGATGTGAGTCACCTTGTGGATCTTCCTTTTAGGTGACAGCAAACCACAAATAATCTAATCTGTTCGCCCCACCAGTGTAATGCCCCTGCCTCTGCTGAGCTTCCAGAGTATCATTTCTGGGCTGTTGGTGGCAAGAAGAATTTCTGAAAGGCAGAGGTAGAGAGTCTCCCTCAGTCCTAGACCGGATACTAATGATGGCAACTGCTGGCAAGTCTAGAGCGCTTCCCCCAGCTTGGAAGTCATAGAGTGCGGACCTTCCGGGCATCAGACTAGCACTGAGAAGGGCTCAGTACCCTGGAACTCTACACCCTCAAGTCAAGCATTGCCCTCTCGTTACCCTCCCTGGAGTCAAAGGTCCTTGGAGCCCCTACAGAAGAAAATCTGCATAATCTTAATTAACAAAGAGATATTAAAAACTGCCTGGGCTCCTGCAGATTTATAGGGAGGGTAAAATTAAACACCATCACTAAAACCAGCTATCAGGGAATCTCGTTAGCACTAATGTTCATTTATAGTTTGACTTCCCAACATTTAATTCTTTTTTGGTGGGAGAGAGGGACTGACAATTTAAGACCCAGAAAGATGGTTTTATGGCTGGTGCAGCTATAAATCAAACTTATAAAGTTCATAAAAATTGTTAAAATAAAAAATGGTTTAATAGGAATGTTTTATGGCCCATAACATTATTATAGCTGTTTTATTCCCTCTGCGTTAGGGGTTTAATTGGATCGCCACAATTCTGGGGATTCTCCGTTTTTATTGGATGGAGGGTAATCTTAAATCAAAATGGCCCCAAATGTCTTCAATATGGCGCCTCATTTATCAGCCCTTTCCCTACAGGCTGGGCCCTGAGCCTGGCATCCTTACAGAGGATGGGGCAAGACACTATCTTTCTGACTCCCCAAGGGCAGCTACCTTTGTGCTAAAACTGTTCAAGGTGGCCCAGGCATAATAGGAACCAGGCCAGAATGAAATCAGAGCCTAAAGGGAAAATGGGCTTCAGACCAGTGTGACTGGAAATAAAATCCCAAATTAGGATATATAAAGAGGTTATGTGCTCTGGAGCCTGACACATCTGGCTACAAATATTGGCTTTACGTTGTATTAGTAATGTGACCCTGACGCCACCCTTCCATCTCTTCATCTGTAAAATGGGAATAATTATCTAGTACTCCCAAGGTTGATGGGAGGCCACCAGGGGACGTCTGTCCAGCAGAAATAGAGAACGAGTCTCCCACGCAAGTCACATGTTTAATTTTAAATGTCTGTTAGCCACGTTAACGAAGCAAAAGTAAATAGATGAAATTAACAGTGTATTTTGTTTAACCCAGTCAGTCTAAAATCATTGTTGTTTCAATGTGTGAGAAATATAAAAATCACTGAGATAGTTTATATTCTTCTATCCATACTCAATCATTGACTCTCGTGTGTTTTGTACATTTTTAGCACATTTCAACTCAGACAGTTAGAATGTGTCTCAGTTGGGACTAACTACATTTCAGGTGCCTGATAGCCACATATTACAAGAAGCTGCCCTATTGAGCCAAGCTGTTCTGGTCCAATAAAAAGTCAGAAACAGTACTAGTTATTGATAGTATTCCTGAACTTCTTCCTCTCTACCCACTCCTATCCCATAACCCTCTGGAATAACCTGGCTATTTCACCTTCCCAAGACACCTATATTCACACACACTGTACCTTTTGTACCATTCTCAGGTATCAGACAGGTCGGTGGTAGCTCTGGTCCCCAAACAGACCTCCTCCTACAACATCCCTGCCTCTGCCAGCATCTCCAGGACGTCCATCAGCAGATACGGTGAGCACCATGAAGTCAGTTTGGGCAGCTCAGGATGGAGGCTTCTGCCACTCTCCAGGGACCACTAACCACCCCTCCTCACAGCAGGAAGTTCCTGCTGCTGCCTGGCCTCCTTCAAAGTCACTCACTCATTTGTCCCTAGTCCAGTAATTCTTGGTGCTTCATCTCCAAACAGTGGGAGCAGGTGGCACCATCTGTCCTTCCTTTGATATCCCAGCCCTGGTGAGGGACTCAGAGTGGCCCAGAATAGGGAGGCACCTGGTGGGAGATTCATACATCCCAGTTTAGGTGAGCCAGTCCCAGTTGATGCCTATTGTCCTGGCTGAATGATGAATAGCATCTTGTTTTATTCTGGAAAATTGTCCCGACTTGGACAATAAATTGACCATCATGGTCTTTCCACTCCTGAGGAATGTTGGGCCTCTCAGTGTTCTCGGAAAGACACCACGGGACAAAACCCAGCAGCTCCAAATGGGCTCAGGAAATGTCACATTGCAGGGCCCAAGAATAAAGGGACCCGTTGATTCCCAAAAGGATCATTACAGCTTGCAACTCTTTAGTATCCATAGTTTTACTAAAGTACCTGCCGAAGTAACCTGTTGACATTTCTCCTGTTGATTATTCATTGCTGGAAGTATCAGAGGAGGGGGCTTACCAATCCCCCAGGGTCTCTCTAGTTCATGGAATTTCTAAACCTCTTTCTAAAAAAGATGTCAGGCTCCTCTGTCCTCATGACAACTAAGGACCCCTAAAATAATCCACCAAATATGAGGTCCCAACGGTCTCCTCCCAATTGAAACAAGTTTGTTCTGAGTGGGTGCAGCAGATGGGCAGGATTGGGGGAGGATGCTGCAAGCAGGGCACTGCCTCGGTCACTCACAGCCCTTCACCGCTCCTTCTCCTCAGACTCCTCCTTCAGGTACACAGGCAGTCCCGACAGCCTGCGGTCCAGAGCCCCCATGATCACCCCAGACCTGGAGAGCGGGGTCAAGGTGTGGCATCTGGTGAAGAACCATGACCATGGTGACCAGAAGGAGGGTGACCGGGGCAGCAAGATGGTGTCTGAGATCTACCTGACTCGGCTACTGGCCACCAAGGTAACTTCTGCTTTCCTCAGGTCCGGGAGGGCTCCTCAGAGAGGCATGCCCCTCCACACACAGGAAGGAGATCATAGCATGTGTTCTTTAAGAGGACCCATTCAGATGACCCCTGGTCTAGGACCCTGGGGAGGGCTTCCAGAGAATCAGGCCACTGCGATCTATGCCCTTTGGCAAAAACAGGAATGGTATCATTGCCTTCTGCCCACTCTCAAGACTCCATTGCCCTTCAGAGGAGCAAACTCTCTCCCTTAGGAAGACACTGAGGGTCTCTTGTCTGTCTTAGCGGAACAGATGTGCCAATCTCCGTTATCACTGCCTTTCCACTCCCTTTTGGCCACAATGCAAGAGAAAGCACAAGGCCCCATCCAGTAATCCAAGGGAAAGCCCCCTCCCGATCCCATTCCATCTGTCCCCACATATTGATGAAAGTTATTGTCTTTAGCCTTCCTAGCTGAGAACAAGATAAGCCTTTAAGGATGGCGATCACATGGCCTGCATTTTCCAGGGCAAGTTAGATTTAAATTCTCTGCCCCTAAAACAATGCTTCTGAGATCCTCATATCGTGGCATCGAACTTAAAGCTCCCAGACTTGCTCTCAGAATGTCCAAGAACTACTTTATTAGACCCTGTATCTCCATTTTGCTATGCATAATATGCTCAGCATACCAATAAGAGACCAGCAAAGAGACACTAGGAAATGTTTCACTGATTTCTCAGAGGTGTGGGACTCCGGCCCAGTCTTGTCCCTGCCCTGGAGACCCTTCAAAGTTTTTCGGTCCTCGCTGTACCTGGGTGTTCTGAAATCTAAATGTTCACTCCTCAGCTCATGCTTCAGACCTCATCTGTCCAAGATCACTGATATTTTAAGGCTTTTCATATTTCCTATCAGACCCTCCGTAGTCCTGTCCAGTTCTCCAACTTGTTCCTCGGATGCCCTCTACAGATGGGGCTGCAGCCTGTGCCCTCCTCTTCACCCTGGGAAGCCTGGACTCAGAACCCTTCCTGTCTTTCTCAAAGGCACTAAGCCCACACCCTACAGGACATCAGTGTGGCATGCTATTACAAATTGGAGGAAACATTCTTCCCAGAGATCCCCAGCCCATTCAGTTCCTCCTGCCTCCAGGACGCCGCAGCTAGTACCCTTCTGCACCTTTGCCACATTGCACAGCCTCACATTACAGACACATTTTCAAGGCAGAATGGATCCAAGCACCATCTGGTATGCCTGTCTGCTTCCTGCCACTGCCTCCCCCTTCACCTCACACTGTCCCTCCACTCCTCCCTCAGGGCACCCTCCAGAAGTTCGTGGACGACTTGTTTGAGACCTTGTTCAGCACTGTGCACCGGGGCAGCGCACTCCCCCTGGCCATCAAATACATGTTTGATTTCCTGGATGAGCAGGCAGACAGACACAGCATCCATGACACAGATGTGCGACACACCTGGAAGAGCAACTGGTAACCCCTAGGGGAGCTCAGTGGGAGGTGCAGCCTGGAGAGGCAGGGAACAGCAGGGACCCTGGAGATGAGAGGGCAGCCTGATCCCAAGCTGGGCCTGGGTGATGGGAGGCTCCTAGAACATACAACACACACTTGCTCTGCAGAGCCAGCATGGTCTCCAGGCTGCCTGCTCCAAGCAGGGCCTACCTGGCAGGAGCTCTGCACATACACTGGAGCTCTGCCCTTTCAACCCGAGATCCTTCCCCAGGGAGAGCCCCGCTCCTCTGACCTCTCGTTCTTAGGAAAAGAGAGCTGGGGGAACCTAGGCAAAGAGCCACATTTGAAACCTGTAGCAGAGCTTCCGAGCCAGGCTTCTGAGAAGGCACTTCCTGAGATGGGAGCCCGGGTGAAGTTTGGTCCGTGCCGGGAGGGAACACACACCTGCTATCGACTTGAGCCCACAAACTAAGGATTCACTGGAAAACCATCTCTTAGGGACAAGTTACTACCCTGGCACCACAGCTTCAGGAAGCAGCAGGCAGAATGTGCTGCAGACAAGACTGTCTTCCCTAGAGGCACCTCTACCCCAGACCTGCAGTGCGAGAAGCAGCTCCTCAGGCCCCTGGCATGAGACCTTTCCCTTCTAGGTTTTGAACCTGGACCACAAAACATGCTAAGGACCGACTTTTAGGTCAGACAGGGCCTGGCCAAGAGCCGGACTTAAAAGGCTCCTTCGGCAAGAGCACAGGGAGGGGAGATCCGGGCATTTGGCTCGGGCAGGCGGCCCACACAGCTGTCTGGAGTCAACGATCTCCTCAGAGAACAGAGCCGACACAGATGGGCCCAGGCTGTTATTTGGGAATCAAAAGTCCTAGCAACCAACAAAACACTTCGAAAAGAGCCAACCCCAAAACCAGATATTCCTTCCTTGTCCAGGGCCCTGAGTCCTCCTAAGTCTGCAGCTTTGATTGCCGTATGGCCATGGGGTAAGGAGCCCACAGTGCACTATGCCAGGATCGGCTTTCTGTCTGCATTTCTCAGGGCAGAACCCCACTATCTCCTTGGCTTTGGAGGATTCCCAGCTCAATTCCAGGAATGGGTGATTTGGGGGAAATCAAGGGAAGGTTCTGGGTTATTCTCATCTTTGTGCCTCCTATAGACTGGCCAGGCCAAATAATAGAAACGCACTGTCCTGGTGTTGTGGTGGGGAAAGTCCAAACAGCAAATGTCCAAGGACAGATGATCAGAAGCCCCCAGAGCTGCCGGGAGAAGGGGAAGGCAGAAGAGCTGCCCAGACTCAGCTGAGGCGGCTTCTCCTGGGTCACGGGAAAGTGAGCCATCCTGCTGCACATTGATGGAAGGGCTTGGGGTGGGGAACGCTGGGGACCTTTCCCAAGACCTGGCACGAGGAAGACAGTTGGGAACATCTGGGTCTGAGAGAGTCAAGAGAAGATGAAGAAGGGGAAAAGAGGGGAAGCTAGGGACGTCACCCAGGTTAGAAGGACAAGCCTGGGGACAGGGCTCACTTCTCACAGGCACCAAAAGAGTTAAGGCCGGAAGGCAGCTGGAAGAGAAGGCAGAGTTGAGAAAGAGGCAAAACAGCAGCTGTTCTGGTTTTGAAGGAGGGTAAATGGGCTTATCCGCCTTATGGCCCCAGGAGCAGGGAAAGCTCATTCCCCTCTGCTTATAAATTCCTGAATCGCAGAAGGAAGTCTCCTAACTACTGATGGGTTCCTCTTGGAGTGGGAAAAGCTCTGTGCTATAGTAAGCCATTCCCAGGGTGCCAACAATGGCCTCCTCTCCTCCCTCTGCCCCTGCCCAGACACAAGAAAGCCCTGGGGAGAGTCGTGAAAGAATGTCCCCCAGGGGAGCCCATTCCTCGGCCCAGCCAGGCAGGCCAGCCCTGGGAAGCAGCTCCGGCAGCCGGCCTGGGCGGGGAGGGCAGGTGGTGCCCTTTGTGCCCGCTCTCAGGCAGTGCCTGGGGCTGCCGGCTGCATCCTTGCGCACAATGGCCACCAGCACTGTGAGGGGACTCTAGGAGCCTGGTGGCTTTGTTTGAAGCCCTGAGAAAATCATGATGTCCTGTGTACTCGGGCTTCCCTTGGGGGCACGGAAGCCTTCAGAAAAGCCTGCCAAGAGGGAACCGGGTCCAGCCACGCCCACTCCTCAGTTGTCAGGGAACAGGGTCAGTGCCCTGTTAAGGTACAATGCCCCTCTCCTTTTCTCCCAGGGTCAGCAACAGCTTGGGCTGAATGAGCAGCCCAGCGAGGTCCATTTTTCCTGATTTCATCCACTTGCCTTTTGGATAGGCCATTTGACATTTGGGGGTGAGGGGAGGAATATTAGTGGACGGCATCAAGGTCACGGCCAAAGTGCGTTCTCAGGTGTGCTCTGCCTTTTTCCGCAGCCTCCCTCTGCGCTTCTGGGTGAATGTCATCAAGAACCCCCAGTTTGTATTTGACATCCACAAGGGCAGCATCACGGACGCCTGCCTCTCTGTGGTGGCCCAGACCTTCATGGACTCCTGCTCCACGTCAGAGCACCGGCTGGGCAAGGACTCCCCCTCCAACAAGCTGCTCTATGCCAAGGACATCCCCAGCTACAAGAGCTGGGTGGAGAGGTCAGTAGCTCCTCAGGACAGGCAGGCGTGGTCTCTCTGCTGCACTGCCTGCCCTGTGGCATCAATGAGGATGCTCTACTTGCGATCCCTTTAGACTTCTTGGTCCCCTCCTTCTTCTAAACTTCCTACTGTGGGGAGGAAGGGTGGCTTTGCGCCCTTGGAGGTCTGATTATTATCATCCTAATTACCATTCATGGAGTTCTTGCTAAGCATCCTGCACTGTGTGATAAGGGTTTTGTACGTATCATCTCACTCAAATGCTCAGTGGACTTGGAAAGTAGCTATTATTATCCCCATTATTATTATCTGTGGCACAGAGAAGTTGCCCAAGATGACCATCGAGCAGAAAGCAGAGATGGGATTTGAACATGAGAAGTATGGCCAGAGTCTTGGCTTTTCTGCTGGGCATTGAGGCTAAGAGTGCTCAGCTGGGTGGTGTCTCTTGGAGACTCTGGCCGTAGGCGTCAGCCTCAACTTGAGGCCAGAGGCAGCAGAAGACACATCAGAGGAGACATGGGAAGACAGGAACAACTGGGGACATCTAATGCTATCAGGGGCCCCAGGGCCAGCGTTGGTGTGGGCAAATTTTGCTGAGTCCCCATCAAGGACCTTGTCTTATCTATGGCAGATACTATGCAGACATTGCCAAGCTCCCCGCCATCAGCGACCAGGACATGAATGCCTACCTCGCGGAGCAGTCACGCCTGCATGCCGTGGAGTTCAACATGCTGAGCGCCCTCAATGAGATCTACTCTTATGTCAGCAAGTATAGTGAGGAGGTAAGACAGGGCCCTAGAAGGGACAGAAACCCACATGTAGGAAGCAAGGCCCATAAGCAGGAAGCTTGACTCCGTCCTTAACTAACAATAGAGGGTAATTTACAAAACGTGCTCATGGAGTCAAAAAGCCCATAAGCTCAAAATCATTGTCACTTCCTTTATAAGGCAGCCTAACCTCTGCTGATTCACTGAACACTTGCTTATATGCACATCATTGTCTTTCAGTCATTGTTAGCACAATAAATAGCATTTTTAATAATTGAATTGTTTTTCAATTCAAAGTGTTGTATGGTGAATTTCATTCTTTCTTAAACAATGAATCAAAGTATTTTGCACTTAAGCAGATCCTGTCAGTCACATTGCAGAAAGACAGGTGGACCTTAACATAAATAGAGGTTCAATAGAATGCTTAGGGAGATTGAGAAGTCATGCATTAACATTGAACCTGAAAGAAGCAGCAGCAGGAGTAGTATTAATAATAATAATAATAATAATAATAATAATTAACACATAATGCTTCCTATTTGCCCTATATGCCAAATATTATATGAAACACTTTATGTATATGGACATACATATATTTATTCATGTGCATCTATAAATGTATGCTTATATACATTCACCCACTATGTGAAGACCTTTCAGTCATCAACCAATCACATGTATGATAGTGATCCCAAGAGATTTTAATGGAAGCTAAAAAATCCCTCTGTGGCCTCATAGCATCCTAATGCCATGAAGCACTTCCCAGGTGTAATTTGCAGGGATGTCAGTATAAACAACCCTACTGCGCTGCCAGTTGTATAAAAATATAGTGCATGCCATTAGGTACATCACGTAATACTTGATAGTAAACAATTGTATTACATCATAATTTATGTTATATCATAATTTTAGAGTACATTTCTTCTACTTAAAAAGTTTACGTGCTGTGGAGCACACCTGTAATCCCAGCAGCATGGGAGGCAGAGGCATGAGAATCTCAAGTTCAAAGCCAGCCTCAGCAAAAGGAAGGTGCTAAAGCAACTCAGTGAGACCCTGTCTCTAAATAAAATACGAAATAGGGCTGGGGATGTGGCTCAGTGGTCGAGTGCCCCTGAGTTCAATTCCCCATATCCCTCACTCCCCCCTCCAAAAGTTTACAGTGTAACACTGTACCACTTCACACGAGCAGCAACATCATACAGCACGTCTCTTGATGGCAACCTTTTCTCTTATGCTTGATCTCATGTTTGTATGCGTACACTCTAGGATGTTTGCATGATGACAAAATGACAAACCACTCCACTTCTCAGAAAGTATCCTTGTCGCTGAGCAAAGCCTGACTGTCTGTGTATTCATTCCATTAATCATTTCAGTTGTTTAAGGTTCTGTTCATTAAGGCAGAATGAAAAGCTAGGTGGATGGGCGAAGGGTGGAGAACTCTAGGAAGTGGTGTGTTTTATGCTGAGTCTCGATATCATTCTCCTTTGTTCTGTCCCTCAGCTCATTGGGGCACTAGAGCAGGATGAGCAGGCCCGGCGGCAGCGGCTGGCTTACAAGGTGGAGCAGCTCATTAGTGCCATGTCCATTGAAAGCTGAGAGGAGGGGACCGAATTCCTGGGAAGATGGACCCACACAAGCTGTCACGCTGGAGTCTCAGAAGGAAGGACAGTAAAGGGGGTCAGGCCCAAGAGCTGGCAGCCCCTGAGATCCCACCCCGGGATGAGGGGAGGGCCCCTCTTCTGACGCCAGCAGGTTTCCTCACAGCCAGTTCCTGCCAGGAAAGACCGAGGGCACCATTCATCCACAGCCAGAACAAGAGACAAGGACCGGCCAGGAGAAGGTGGCTCTTCAAGCTGGAGCAGGGACAGTCCTGCCTCCATAACTGCTGCTTTGCATGAAAACTCATTTGATGTATATTGGGGAAATAATGAGAACTTTATTTAATTTTTTTTAAGAAAAACGGAAAAAAAAAACAGAAATAAACAAAACAAAAAGCTGCCCTGTTCATCCCRTCCAACTTTTGTTTAATTCTGATTTCTGCCCCTGTCTGTCCCCTCGTCTCTCTCCTTCTTCGTGTAACTCCTCTTTCTGAATGTCAGGAAAAGCCTGCAAAGAGATGCTGAGAGAAACTGAGCGGGAAAATGGTCTCCTTTCCTGTGATGAAAACACAAAAAATAAAAAATAAAAAGAGGAAGAGAATAAATGAGCACAAGTTCAAACCAAACACTTCGCAAATGGAGAGGCCAGTACAACTGGTAGTCCTCCCAAAGGCCAGAAGAGCGTGGGGACCGCAGAACTTTGCACAGAACTGCAAAGCCATCCGGTGGCTGCGCCTGGCTGGCAGGAAGCTGAGCTTTACCTACACACACCTGCGAATTCTCATCTCTTGAGAGGAGGGCGGTATCTGTATCGTACCAATGCTTTTTGCTACTGTTTTTGGTTTATTTAATCCTAACCCTCAACAAATAAGGATCTGGCCTTGGGTTCTTTTCCTTTTGGTTTTCCTAAAGTTAATATGGGAAGTGGGAAAGGTCGGCTTCTCCCAGACCAGACACCTGGCCTCCCTGAGGATTCTGAGCGGTTCTGCCCTACATCAGTCCCTGTCACTACCCAGGCACCCTGGGGAACGGATGGCTTGGAGGATGTGCAGAACAGACCTCCAGATGGTACCCTTTGGGAATTGAATTGAGGACACAGGTGTTTGGCACTGGATTCCATTCCAATCATCTGGTGGTTTCTGGCAATTAAACAGAAAGCAAAAATCAAACACTGTTTACAGCAAGCAATACTTGAAGAGCATAGGTTTAAGAAGCTTCGGTATTTATTGTTACACTTTCTTTCATTCTCTCGTGCCTGGAGAGGGGAGACAACCCTTCGGTCATAAGCGGACATATTTGGAAGCTCCTGGCCACCTGGGCTTACCACACCTGCTTCAATAGAAATGACTGCAACATCCCTACATTTCTGTCTTCTGCCTCTCATGGACATGTGGGTTGGAAGGACAAGCAGATGGTTTCTCCATGGGCTCCATTCCTATTCTCTCTCCTGTGAACACCTAAAACCATGGACAGCCAGATCTTCTGAGTGCAATTTTCCAACAGAGACTAAAGCTTCATGCTTACGTCCAGAGCCACCCAAAAAAGCTAGTGGGAGTTACCCAGAGAAAGACAGCTCTGTGGTAACAGGACAATTGATGACTGGAGTAGCCATCAAGAAGCCCAGGCCTCCCACCTTGGCATAGATCCAACTTCTCTGCAGGCAACCCTGCAAGAGAAAGGCCCAGGGTGGAGAGGAAGAGGCAGGAGAGCAACACTCTCCCCCCTCCCACCTTTTGCTCTTCAAGGGGTCAGGAATCCCAGATTGCAATGTTGGGAAACTGGACCAGCTGCCCCAAGAGAAAGAGACCAGAGTCATTTCCTCTGTCATTATCTCTGGGCCCCAGCTTCTCTGTGCCCTGCTATACCTCCAGGCAATTCCAGTTTCCAAAGGCTCTGCTGACCACATGTGATTCCCAGGAAAGGGCTGGGGGAAGAGAGCTCAGAGAGCTGGCTTCCATCCTGGGTGTGTGGCTTTGGATCGCTGTCTAAGCACACAGCGGACGTCGCCTGGTCTCTTCAGCTCCAGTTTCTTGCCTGAATGCAGCTGACAAATGGGAAGAGAAAAGCATTCAGCAAAACACTCAGGAAACTTGCTGTTTTCATTATAATTCACAACCAGCCATGCCAAGGCCACTTTCTTCTGATAATCTACTTCTGTTAAAATTTCTTGGGGCCCTATTAATAGCCTGAAAGAAATACTAATGACTGGCCTTCCACGCTAAGCCAAAGTGTTTGCTCTTCACAGCACCCAAAGCTTATCAGCTCAGAGCCCATAATTTATGGAAATGGAAGGAGAAGAGATATGGGCAAGAAGAATGTGAGCGGGAGACATTGTACGGCCCATGAAAAATTCCATCCCACCCTGATTTCACTGCTGAGCTCCGTTTGAATGGTTTCCTTATGGCACTACTATTCAAGCTGGCAACTAGGTCTTTGTTACCCCCAAGAAGTAAAAGAAAGTCAGATTTCTCGTTGAACATCATCTTGCCCAACCCTCACTTCTGTGCATCTACCTGGTGTCTCCCAGCAGCCACTCTGGGCGACCACTCACTGCACCTGGGATGCTTCCTTGAAAGTGTGTGGAGAGTGTGGAGAATGGGGGCATGTAGCTGGCTGGAGAAGGGTGAGGAAAGAAGCCAGGACCAGCTGTGAGTGGCCTGGCCACAATTCTCAGGATTCCATGAGAGGGTTGGGGAACTTGAGCTTGCAAAGGAAATGGCAGAGAAATGTCCTTAAGGAGACAATTAAGAAAAAGGAAAATTCAGTTGGACACAGGCCAACCACGAGGGCAAATTGTTGTGGAACTTTGACTCAGTTCTAGCTTCTCACCTAACACCTCCTCCACCAACTCCTTGCTTTAAACCACCAAGAACCTGTGGAGTCCACACCCTTGAACTGGGGAGGAGAGGGAGTTGGGTGATCTCTCTTCTTGCTATTATCCAATTTTTGTCTCGTGAAAGAAGTATTAAAGCCACAGCTCCTCTCTATTAGAAGCCATCCATTTTGGGCGAAGACAGAAAGTATCTCTCTTTAGTCTATCCAACTCTGCTTTGTTTCATTGATCTGCCCAAGACAATTCTCTGGAAAAGGAACAGGACTCCAGAAAGGTTTGGCTAGACAGAGGATGCCAATGGACAAGATGGGGACCAGATCCCTCCGGCTGGACCCTATTGCCACCTCCCACCCGCTGCATGGGTCAGGTGCTTCTGTGTTGGCTGTCCTACCTCTTTGCATAGCGCGTCTCTCAAAACCATTTCTGATCCGCCTCTCCTTACACAGATCAGTCATTTAAAGCATGAATGAGCTGTGAACCTCACTGGAGGGAGGTAACCATTCCTGCATCCATTCATTTGAGGAATCTTGAGCAGCATCTATCTGCCAGGCACTGCTCTAGGTGATGGAAAGCAGCCATGAGCAAGACCAAGAAGGTCCTTCTAGCAAATGTATATTCTTCGGGCTGCCTGTTCCCGCCACCAAGAAGCAGGCACAGGTCTCCCCAACTAGCAGAGGGCGCCATTTGCATACAAAAGGGGATGCAGTGAGGGAAGAAAGCGACCCACCCAGCTGCCTTACCTTAGCCTGGGGACGTTCCCCCAGCACTGAGAGCTGCTCTCTTTTCTACTGCCACTGGCTCTTCTAGTGGCACCTCCCCTGCTGCTTGAGCTCCTGACCTTCCCTCAATTCCACCAAATGAGGACAAGAAATAGCAATCAAGGCCTCTGGACCTGCTGAGCACAAAGCAGAAGCAACAGGCGGGCAGGGGTGTGCAAAGACTATAAAATGACCTGGACCGAACAAGCAAAGAATGTTGGCCAGCCCCTGGCTGATCAATCTTCAGGAGTATCCCAGTCGTCACACACCTGTCCCTATTACCTGCTGCCTGGAAACACTGAGCCCACACCTCCTGAGGCCCTTTTGTTTTTCCTAGCCACACTGTGTCATGGTGAGACTCCTGGGACCTGGACACAAGGAAGAATTGAGATGCAGAGGGCTCTGTGGGTGAGAACATGTAAAGTGGCCTCATGGTTACAGGGCTGTGGGAGCTGATCCCAGGGGGGTCAGGGGACTTGGGAGGTGAAGTTCAAGGCCTTCTGATGCCCCGTCTCAGGAATGTGCTTGGTGAGAGAGAACAGTGGCATTCTTTTCATAACTCCGCAGTCTCTTTTCCCCATCTCTATCCTTTCTCCTGGTTTCCCCAGAGTGAAGTTTTAGCATCTGGGGCTCAGAGATGGGTGCCCGGAAATGAAGGATGAAGTTTCCCTCTTGGTACATTCAAACTAGTCCTAGGGAATGTCCTGAGAGGCCATCAAGACCTCTGCTGGTAAGGCAGGGCCTCTGCCCAGTAAGCAAACTGGAGATTCCTTGGCCATTATGGCCACCACATCTCGCTGCTCCCCACAGCAAAGCTCTCTCTCCCCATGGAGCCATGTCCTCTGAGCTGCCATGCAGCCTGCTGCCCACTGCCCCAGCTGAAGGAAGGTGGGACGCTTCTTCCAAAGCTCAGTCAAGGTCCTCACTCTGACTTTGTTTGTCCTCCACATTGGTATCACAGGTGGAGAGCATAATGGGGCAGGGTCCCCATCAAACCCAACAGAGGTTCCTGAGCAGACAGGGAAAGAAGTGACAAGCCCTTTACACCGCAGGACTAGGGACCAGAACCCACCTGCCTCTCCGCCCCCTGCTCCTCCAACTCAGACCCACTCCCCTTGACACACTGGAATCTGTATTATATCTATTTTTAAGAAAATACAATAATGGTTGTCTGGTTTTGTTGTTTTTACAGGTGTTGTGGAATAATAAGAAAATTAAGTATTTAAAATGTTCCAATAAAATGGAATTTTTTTGTTATTCTAATATATTATCGTGTACCTATTGTAAATATGAAACACTCCTATTTTGCAAGCCAAGGACACAATTTGTACTGTTGTTATATATAAATAAAGTTTACTGGATTAAAAAAAAAAAACAACAACTTACATCTTTAAATAAACGTGGTTGTTTGGCAGCATACGGGCAGAATAACTTCATGGGCCTTAAATTGAAACAGAGTTCTCCCAGAAAGATGAACTAAGTTGTTTTGAGGGAGTTTCTGAATTCTTCCTGGAGCTAGAGCTTATTAATGTCCAGTCCTCAACACACACACACACACACACACACACACACACACACACACACACACACACGGTACCGTGGGTGAGCACTGCCCCCTAGTCCCAGGACCCCAGAATACAGCTTTCCTCCAGGAGAGACTGCTACTGCAGACTCCAAGGGTTGAGGCCCCTTCCCAGAGTGAAATGAGGTCACAGAAGGAGGAGGACATCCACCGCTAGCCTTTCACAAAAAGTGCACTCATGCATTTGTTCCAAACCTCTGCTAAGCATGGCCTGGCACCATGGTGAGTGCAGGG